GACTATTTCTGGTCCTTTTATACTACCTACCTGTCAATAATACATGTTTATCTTACAAGAATAAGGAACAAGTCTTGATTAATAATGTTTATTTTACAATAATAAGGATCGGGTCTTGAATAACAGTATTTATCTTACAAGAATAACGAGCAAACTTCGAATAGTAAAGTTTATTTTATAATAATAAAAAACAGGTCTTGATTAATAGTGCTTATCTTTCAATAATAAGGAACAGGTCTTGATTAATAGTGCTTATCTTACAATAATAAGGATCATGTCTTGAATAACAGTATTTATCTTACAAGAATAAGGAGTAAACTTCAAATAGTAATGCTTATCTTACAAGATATATGTAGTAATCATGAATAATAGTGTGTATCTTACATGATATAGGTGGTATTAAGGTCCACAGGACGTATCTTCTTCTGTCTCTCTAGTATTGCAATGATCGATAAAATCCCAATTTTGAAGAGTGCCGCAGAACGGCAGGATTTGGAAGACAAGTGTAAAGGAAGATGTAATATCCTTTTCCTGTTTCTCAAAGAGTTAGGATCTTATGGTAAGCCTATTCTGAATTCAGTTAGAAAATGAAGCATTTATCGGATATAGCAGAGCTAAAAGTACTAATCAGAGAACAGGTTAAACTACATCAGTACAGTAGTACGTCTGAGATAAGTAAATTGGAAATAAACATGATGTTCCCTGTTTAGAATGAGATATTAGTTTAGAATCACAAAACAAAAAAATTATTCCATGTCGATTTGGGCAAGTATAATCTTTGCAGATTATGTGTAATATAATAATGATACAGAGGGTTGACTACGGTATATTAAAACGAACTTGAATAGGCGAATCAGCAAGTCACGTAAAATTGCGGTGGAACGGAATGTATCAGAACTACATTTTGACGTTGTTTGGTGTTCGTAGGTAGTGTGATGCCAACAAAAATTCATCGTTTTGGGGAATGGTATGCAAAAGCACTTTCCTTCATACACCCAAATCATAAAGGTGTGTTCAGTTCGGGATTAAAAATTTTCAAGAAGGGGACATCTCTTGTGCTTAATGGTATTGGAAAACAAAACCATATCAATCATCTTGGGAAATCGGGGCTATCCAGAAAGAGATCTGCAAGAAGTTGGACCCCAGCCATGATAAGTAAAGAGTATCCACAAACACAAAGATCAAAGGTAAAAGCTGTTCACGTGTCCCAAGCAAACAGTACCCAACATAATCAAAAAGAATCTCTGTATAGAAAAGTGACACTAGCCACGTGTGCACGAGTTGCTTTTGCAATATATATTCGTACAATCGTCGCATACCTCAGTCAGCTGGAGAATAAACTGGGTATTCGTGCTATTCCATACTGAGAAATACTTGTCGAGTCGCCAGATGCAGCATCTATGGATTTTTGTGCGATTGGATTATTGAAATGAGCGATGGAAAACTATCGTTCTCGCATGCTAGATGGATTATGGAAAGCATGTAGGAGGAAGGTTATACTTCGAACATGACAGCCTTACTACGGAGTCTTTTGCAATGGAATCTATGCTGCAAGTATATTATCAAAATGCATGGTTGTCAAATAGAGTATCATCGAAGGTGGCGACACGGAATATAACGACGTGTTAAAGCCCTAAAATCGTTTTGATATAAAGTTCTCATATCACTTTATGTTCGTATTTGGCAGTTTTACACATTGATTTTAAGTTTAACTTCAGTGTTGCCGAGTTTATGCATCTAATCATCTACTTTAGTAATAAATAAAAAATGAGATTGGATATAAAGATTAAGTGTACATTTTATTGTATTTATTTATTTATTTTTTAATTTTGCAATATACCAAAAATCAATAGTTTTGGGACACTATATAGGTGATTAACAAGTTTTGTCCATGGGCGTCCGCAGAAATTTTTCCAGGGGGGGGGGAAGTAGTGTGAAATTGTGAAATGAATAAAAAAATGCACATATATATATATGCTGGATGAATAAAGAAATAATTATGTTTCTCATTTTCTAGGGGGAGTGGCAAGACACCCCCCCCCTCCGCAGACGCCCATGGTTTTGTCTATCTCTCAGAACACAGTGTTTTTGTAACTGTATAGATAACTAGCAGCATGCTCTTTTCTGTGTTTTAGAACACAGAGTGTTCATGGAGACAGCCATGAGGATTTCGGACAAGTATCTTTGTGCTTTAACAACAGACCATGACTCAACCGTAGGATTATCGTAAGTTCAAATTCATCAACGCCTTGAATACCCACTCGTCTTGAATTATTTCTCCAATCCTACTTATGTTTTACAGTTTCCAATGGTCATGCACTTAGATCATACTTATTCTTACGTTTTACACTTTCCATTGGCCATGCACTTAGATCGTACTTACGTTTTACAGTTTCCAACGATCATGCACTTAGATCATACTTATACTTACTTTTTACACTTTCCAACAACCATGTACCTTAGATCGTACTTACGTTTTACAGATTCCAACGGCCATGCACTTAGGTCGTACTTACGTTTTACACTTTCCAACATTCATATACCTTAAATTGTATTTACGTTTTAAAGTTTCCAACGGTCATGCACTTAGATTATACTCATACTTACGTTTCACACTTTCCAACAATCATGTACCTTGGATCGTGCTTACTTTTTAGAGTTTCCAACAGTCCTGCACTTAGATCATGCTTACATTTTACGCTTTCCAACACTCATGTACCTTAGATCGTACTTACGTTTTACAGATTCCAACGGCCATGCACTTAGGTAGTACTTACGTTTTACAGTTTCCAACGATCCTGCACTTAGATCATACTTATACTTACGTTTTACACTTTCCAACAATCACGCACCTTAGATTGTACTTATGTTTTATAGTTTTCGCTTTTACATTTTTAACAATATAACTTAAATTCATGGATAGCCATTTTTTATTTTTTAAACTATTGAATTAACGTGAAAAAGGCTACTGGATAAAGTTATAAACTCCCTACAAAATTAGAGTCTGTATACTATTTAAGGTAATCTACGTTGCATATAAAATTAATGGAAGCAGTGATACCTGAAACATTTTATTGGTATTATTAGCTAGAACCAGAAATATCGACTAAAGATAGAGAAAAGTTACAATCTCGCCTTATGCCTTTGTTTCTTACATTCAATCTATGCATGAAATATATTTTTACGTCTCTGGTCGTTAGTTAATTTCCCGTATAATTTCTTTCCGATGAAAGTTTAGCGACACAAGTCCTTTCTTAAATAAATCTAGTTTATTCTTTCTCAATACAACTTTGAAATTCACTTAATTTCCACAGTCACGCTATAACAAACGATATAATTCACAACGAACGACTCACGCGCTCGACCCAGCTGTCCGTCTCTATCTCTGTCTGCAAATCAATTATATTGTTGTCGTCACTTCTTGGCAGTCTTATATATACAACAATACCGTACATCTAGTAAACACTCGAGGCTTCACGAAGGGGCAGGATTTTTTCTAGAAGTTCATGACGTGTTACTAGGGTCACGTGACTTCCGCTGTCGTAACAATATATAAAACTAGAGGGTGTTTTAACACGTGAGAGATTATATTATGCTTATAAATGTGTTTTAGAAAAATTACTTTGATATCATTTATAACTTTTTTTTCTTAGTTATAACCGATCCTTATATCATAGTATTTATTTTTCAGAACTTTTTCTGTCACGATACATTTAAACTTGAGAATGAATTAAGGTTCTCAGATTTTATATATGGTAACTTTAAAACATTCATGGTTTATCATGATTTAGAGAACCAGATCTCCAAAATGATGGGGAAAATCATGGAAAAACAGAAAAGGAACCGAGGTTATGGGCACTACAATGTAGCAACGTAGAACCCCAGTCTGGACACTCCTGTTTACAAGCTGTCCATTGGATGAGAATAGACCTTACCAGCGTCAATGTCTTTCTGCAAGCTGTTGATATGGAACCATGGGTAAGTCAGTCAGCTAGTTCAGTATATTTGGGTCAATGTCTTTCTGCAAGCTGTTGATATGGAACCATGGGTAAGTCAGTCAGCTAGTTCAGTATCTTTGGGTATTTCGTATAAAATTATTTTTTTACTCTAGTATTTCACATTTATATATATTGTTGTTGCTCTTTGCAGGTTGAGGTCAAACCTTCCTCAGATAGAATTTGCACAGAATACGATAATCTAGAACTACCAAAGGTTTTTCTAACATATGACAAGAATGCAAAGGAACAAGTCATCAACATAGCGAATCAGCTGAATACTTTTTACCGTGGAGCATTAGGAATATGTATTATTGACAGGTAGGTAGTGTAAAAAGACCAGAAATAGCTGTCAACTGAATACATTTTACCCTGGAGAACTAGAAATATGTATTATTGACAGGTAGGTAGTGTAAAAGGACCAGAGAACTAGAAATATGTACTATTGACAAGTTGGTAGTGTAAAATGACCAGAAATAGTCGTCAACTGAATACATTTTACTTTGGAGAACCAGAAATATGTATTATTGACAGGTAGGTAGTGTAAAAGGACCAGAAATAGTCGTCAACTGAATACATTTTACTTTGGAGAACCAGAAATATTGACTGGTATAATTCATTAATAAATAGTAAATGTTGTGATAGATTGACTGGTATAATTCAGTAATAAATAGTAAATGTTGTGATGGATTGACTGGTATAATTCAGTAATAAATAGTAAATGTTGTAGATTGACTGGTATAATTCAGTAATAAATAGTAAATGTTGTGATTATTTTCCACAGTCACTTTAAAGTTAACTACTTTTATAAACACACACACTATAATTCACGCACTTTACTTACGGTGCCTACTGCTCGCTTGACTCTATATCTATATCTATCTATCTGCAGTCTTTATTTAGTGCTCTATTTGCCAGGCTTATATACAAAAATAGAGGGCGCCTGGAAAAAGACTAGAGTTGTCAGGAACAGTCATGATCTTTCTAGAAACTCCAGCGCGCATGCTTCCAGCGTCGCGTGACTTCCGCTGTCGTAACAGTATCCTTCATCTTTGGATGAGGCATAACGTTAGTTTGAGGAAAAAAATAAACCATTTAATAGTCAGATACAAGTCAGTAATATACATACGACAAAACTAATTATACTTATATTCTAAGCCTAATTTGTCGTATGCCCTAGAATAAAAGTAAACTATTATATATATATAATTAATAGTCATATAACAACAATTAATAAACATTACAATCAGTTTTCCACTAAGTCAGACGATTATCAGATATGACATAAATTCTATCTTTACTAGACTTGTATCACCTATAGTTAACACCCATACAGATAGTTAAGTATTGCTTCACAGCCTCCCCCTGGTGGTTCAGTGGGCTTACAACTCATAACAACAAACAAATATGGCTTCATAGTTAAACGCCATATTAACAGTGGTTATATTTCTTTTCAACTATTTTGGAGTCGGTCTGTATTTTTGTAGGCCCAGCATGGCCAGGTGGTTAGGGCGCTCGAGTCGCAATCCGAGGGTCGCGGGTTCGAATCCCCGTCACACCAAACATGCTCGCCCTTTCAGCCGTGGGGGCGTTATAAAGTGACGGTCATTCCCACTATTCGTTGGTAAAAGAGTAGCCCAAGAGTTGGCGGTGGGTGGTGATGACTAGCTGCCTCCCCTCTAGTCTTACACTGCTAAATTAGGGACGGCTAGCGCAGATAGCCCTCGTATAGCTTTGCGCGAAATTCAAAAACAAACAAACTGTATTTTTGTAAACCAAGAATTTTTACATTCGGGTGGCTGGCCCAGGCGGTAACCGTATTGAACGAGCATGGTTGGTAACGAGGATGGCCATGCTACTGTAATTTCATCTTAAAGGATTCCGCACCAGAGTAATATACATTAATTTATGGTGTTTTAAATTGTTATTTACTCACGACAGGTAACCTATATTTATATAGTATGTAAAGAACATGCGAAGTTACTGAAGAGGATTGTAATTCCCCGAATCCGGTATAGTTCAGTAATAAATAGTAAACGTTGTGATGGATTGACTGGTATAATTCAGTAATAAATAGTAAATGTTGTGATAGATTGACTGGTATAATTCAGTAATAAATAGTAAATGTTGTGATGGATTGACTGGTATAATTCAGTAATAAATAGTAAATGTTGTAGATTGACTGGTATAATTCAGTAATAAATAGTAAATGTTGTGATAGTCTCCGAGAAACTTCAGCGATACAAGTCCTTTCTTAATTAAAACTAGTTTATTCTTTCTCGATACAACTTTGCAATACAAATAATTTTTACGGGAAATTATCAAACAAGCAGATACGAAACAATAGAGCAACTAAAATATCACAACTGCTCTTCAATCCGTCAGTTCCCTTACATTGACACAGTAGCATTAAATCTCTTTAAGGCTTAACGAAAGTGATAAAATTACGATTAACGGTAGACGTTTTTATATATTTTTATCGGCACACCGTTTAATTAGTTATTTATTGAGTTCGAATTAGAGGGATGTAAATATAATATTTGAAACCCAAGATTCGCGGGTGGGACCCTGGGTACACTGTAAGAATTACAGTGAAATCCCACTATCTGGTAAGATAAGGGTAAATCAAACACTTACAGTGGTTGCTACCTTCCCTTTTGTCTATCGGTTCAAAACTAGGGAAGGCTTTGCCCAGAAAACTCTTGTGTAGCTTTGTGCGATAATTCTGAAACAAACAAAATTATAACTAAACGACGTAAATGAGAAATAGAATATTCTATTTTGTTCCATCTTCTGGAAATTGTAAGTAATTGCCAAATTTATCTCCTTTGTGTAAAACGAAGGAAAGACACAATAAAGTTAGGAAAATTAATGCAATTTATAACAATATTAAACACGGTCAAAAGAAACACAGACAAAAACTAAAGATGAATATCAATGCCCAACCTATCATTCGAATGCACGACTTGTCACTGAGTTAGGCAGGTTTCAAATATTTCCATTCCTCACAAGTAACCTTTGACAAGAGCAAATAAAAAACAAAAAGACTAGGCTTTTTATACTGATGAACTGTATATTTTGTGTATGATGTTTTGTTTACTTTTTACTCAACAGTGTGAACTTATATATATATATATATATATGTGTGTGTGTGTGTTTTGATGAATCTGTAGCTTTGATGCAACTAAATTTTTTTTCTAAATTATTCAGTAGACATGGATAGAAATTGCCACTCGTAACTTTCTGCTAGTCACACACACAAATAAAGTAATGTCACTGATGAAGACACTTCTCTCAAGTTAAACGAGAAGGGATTAAAATCTATATATAAGACTTAAAATCTCTCTGTTTGCTTGCTTGTTTGTTTGTCCGCCGCGTATACAGCGCAGGTCACACTTCCCTCACGTGAAGGTGCGTAAAACGAAAATTTTTCGTTGTCATACGCGACTATCGTCTGCTAGGCGAACCGGTAATTTTATCGTTAACATATATATTACACGAATAAATTCTACGCAGACTTGACATTTTTTGATAAGTTTTGGTTAACAGTTAATTTAGAATATAGCATTATAGGTCTGTTTAGTTATAGATAATTAACCTCACACACAAAAGAAATGTATGCAAATTTAGAGTGCCGTGTGTGAAAAAGCAAACAGTAGGCCTAGCATATAAAATAAAATTATGCCATCTGCCATAAAATAGACTGCGTGAAAAGAGTAAGTCTTAAATTATAATACTTATTGTGTAAAATGAGATTAAAGTCAAGTCATCAATGTATTTTGTTCTAATTTTTTTTTCTACGGGTGGTTTGACACCTGGAAATGGATTTTTTTTTCTCTTTTGATACATTATAAAGTACAATATTGCATTTTGTTTGTAGTATATTTCATACATCAATGTTATAATGTGAATACGGTATCACATTCATAATATATATTAAATTTCCATTAAAGCAAATTGAACACAATATTACAAATATATTTAAATTTGAAATTTTAATATTTGAGGAGGGGTGACTGGGGATGGGGGAATAGAGCTAGGCTTATCCTGTTCACCAGAACAGGTGCTCATACATGTAAAAGATAGTCTAAATATTCTCCATAAGGGCATATTTATCCTTGCAGGTGAAGAAAAATGAAAAAAAATATCATTCATAAGGAGGCCCTAATTTAAAACAGGTTCGTAGTTTATTTTCAAAAATCAAAGCTAAGTTTTTTTCATAAATTAACAAAATATTTTTACCTATCAAAATATGGAACGGGGGAAACAGAGAGAGTAGTTTTTTCTTTTTCGAAAACACGGCAACGCTGCTAGTCTTTTATAAAATCACTATATTTTTCACAAGTCTCAGATAGTCGTTTTTGACTTTTCAGAGATACAACAAGAAAAGGAAAGTCAAAATGTTTCGTATTATCACAAAATAAGGAAGAAACATAAACAGCAAATTAATATTATGGACCAGCGGATAAGTCTTTTTGAGACCAACTTTCTGCCAATGGTAACTTTTTGCATCAGGAATGCAATCATCATCACCGATAGGAATTGTGGCAGCTATTTCACAAGGATGTCTTTCATTACAGAATTGAGGAAAAACAAGACAATTGTATGTTTCACAAATATATCTTTTACTCGCGACAAAGGTTTCGCCAGTCAAGGCTTCTTCAGATACAGTATATTTTTTTCAAAAGATGTATTTCGAGGTGAGATTGCATATCACACATTTGTTACTGAACCAAAGGTGTTGAGTTGCTAAGCACTGTTTCGTTTTCAATCTTTTGTATAAGATGAAACCATGGTTGTGAATAAATGATTTATTTGTGAAACTTACAATTGTCTTATAATGGCTGGAGACGGCTTGAATGGGTAATGAAGAAAAACTTTAATATAACAGCAAATGTACA